GCTAAGTGCTTGTCCCTCCAGCACCATTTGTGAAAAGAGAATTTTGTTTCCTTAAATGGAAATGCTTTGGTAGCTTAGTTGCAATTGACCATAAATATAAGGGTTTACTAGTGGACTCTCAATTCTTTTCCTTTGACCATTTGTCTATTGTTATGCTGTTATCATGCTGTTTTTTTTTTTTTTTTTTGAGAGGTTTTCGCTATAGGGCGTGTGCACTCGCCAGACAGACAGAGACATAGAGACAGAAAGCGAGAAATCACCCCCCAGGGGGGATAGTCACGCCGCAATCCCTTCTCCTCCATTCTCCTCTCGGGATCTTGGGCACGCACGCACACGTGCCCGGCGTGAGTTCTAAGCCACCGGGTCCGGGACGCGAACTGTGGTCGACTACGTGGGAGTCCAGCGACATAGCCATTACGCTAACTACTGGTTCCCTTATCATGCTGTTTTGATAACTGTGAATTTATAGTAAACTTTGAAATTGGGAAGTGAATGCCTTACAGTTTTATTCACCTTATACAAATGATTTTGACTACTCTAAGTCTTTTGCATTTCCATGCAAGTTTTAATTTCAGGTCATTTATGCAAAAACAAAACAAAACATCCTGCTGTAGAAACTGATAGAAATTATATCAAATCTATTGAAATATATCAGCTTGAGAAGAACTGTCACCTTAAAAAGAGGAGGTTTCTAATCCATAAACTTTAAAATTATTTATTTAGATATAGTATTTTCTTCAGTAATGTTTTATAATGTCCATTGTGCAGGCTTTGTCCCAATTTGTTAAATTTATTCCTACTTGATTCTTTGTGGTGCTACTGCAAATGAAATTGTATTCTTAAGTTATTTTTTAGATGATGTAATGCCCACATAGAGAAATGTAAGTGAGCTTTGTGTTATATGCCCAGCAATACAGTTTTATGAAGTTGTCTTTTAAATCAGTTAATAGAAGAGTTAAGCTTTTCTATTAGTACTTCTATTTACCACGCAAGTATATTAAGATGCTCTTTATTTCTTAAGTGGATTTGAGTTACCATCCAGAGTTATTTTGTTTCAGCTTGAAGGATTTATTTTACTATTTCTTATAAAGCAAGCCTAATAGTATAACAATAAAAATTCTCACTTTTTGTTTATTTGGGAATTTTTTTTTCTATTTTTATTTTTGAAGGTAATTTTACTGGATATAAAATTCTTGGTTGTCACTTTTTGTCTTCAGCCCTTTGAATATGTCACCGCCACCTCATTGCCTTTTGGCCTTCATTGTTTCTAATGGAAAGTCAAATGTTAATCTTTTTAAATAGTTTTATTGAGATATAATCACATACCACACAATTCATTCTATTAAGGTATACATTTTAATGGTTTTTAGTACATTCACAAAATTGTTCTCCAATCACCACAATCTTAAAACATATTCATTACCCAAAAAAACCCCTTGCATTCCTTAGTCATTATCCCCTGTTCCCCTAATGCTCACAGCCCTCGACAACCACTAATCTATGAGTTGTTGTTTCCAATAAGTTGTTAAATATACATATACATATAGTGAAAAAATGTATTTAATATTTTTTGCACCAAAATAAGCTTGTACTAACTTGTCATAACATATATAAATAAGATCTTCTTTGAGACACTGAAAAGGATAAGACATCAGTTTTAAAAGAGCCCCTATGAGAGGAACATGAATTCTCCTAAAATTACAGCAAAAACAGACATCAGATTTATAGTGAAACATGACTGGGAAAATGGTGAAATCATTAATGCATTATGAAAAGTTTATGAGAAGAACACCCGAAAGAAATCATTAAATGGGTAGCTCGTGTTAAGAAGGGATACAGTTATGGTGAAGATGATACTACAGTGGCGGACTTCTACATCAGTTTTCAAGGAAAAGGTCCATCTTGTCTGTACCTAATGGAACAGCGCTGAAAAAAAGGAATGATAGCCAACACCAGAGACATCTCAATTGGTTCAGCTTACACAATTCTAAAACAAATTTGAGTTGAGCAGACTTTCTGCTCAATGAGTGCCAAAATGGTTACACCCAAGTCAGCTGCAGACAGGAGAAGACTTTTCAATGGAAATTTAAATAAGTGGGATCAAGATCTTGAAGCATTCCTTTGAAGAATTGTCACAGGAGATGACACCCGGCTCTACTAGTAAGATCCTGAAAACAGCGCCATCAAAGCAATGGCTGTCAAGAGGTTGAAGTGGTTCTGTCAAAGCAGACATGGACCAGTCATGGCAACAGTTTTTGAGATCCTTTGGGCGTTTTGCTTGTGACTTTTTAGAAGGACACAAGACAATGACATTTACTTATTAAGAGAATGTTTTGAGAAAATTAGCTGGAGCTTTGTCAAAAAGCATCCAGAAAATTTTCACAAGAGGTTTCTTGACAGTGACAATGCTCCTGCTCATTCCTCTCATCAAACAATGGCAATTTTTTGAGAGTTTTGACAGGAAATAGTTAGGCATTCACCTTACATGCTAATTTGACTGCTTCTGATTTTTTTTTTTTGTATCCTAATGTTAAAAAAATCTTTTTTACATTTTAGTTTATTTTATTTATTTTTACCTTTAATCATTGTGCATCTTTACATCTTGCAGCATGGTTTATCCCAGCATACATGCATTGCATGTCAATCACATCAAAGAGATTACCATATACATCATCAACAATAATAGCTCCATTCTTGTATCTGTTATTTTTTTTCTGAGCCCCTCCCCCCACTGCTGTTGGGGAATCTCAACACCCCACTGTCACCTCTGGACAGCTCATCTAGACAAAAAAAATAAACAAAGAGATACAGAATTGAGATGATAATCATAAACCAAATGGACTTGACAGACGCCTATTGAAAATTTCACCCAATAATCACAAAATACACATTTTTCTCATCCTCAAATGGAACATTTTCAAAGATAGATCACGTGATGGAGCACAAAACTAGCCTTTATAAATGTAAAAGTATAGAAACTACATCCAGCATCTTTTCTAGCCACAATGGTCTTAGACTTGAAATCAACTACAGAAAGAGCTCTCAAAAATACACAAACAAGTGGGGAAAAAAATCTTTATAAGGCAGCAGTTTTTCTTCAGCTAATAATGTGTTTTTAAAAAATTGCATTGACGCATGAATGCCCAAGATCCCGAGAGGAGAATGGAGGAGAAGGGATTGTGGCGTGACCATCCCCCCTGGGGGGTGATTTCTCGCTTTCTGTTTCTATGTCTCTCTCTGTCTGTCTGGCGAGCTCACTTTCTGTCTCTCTCTGTCTGTCTGGCGAGCACCCACACCTTATAGTGAAAAAAAAAAAAAAACAACTCTCCAAAAAAATAATAATTATGGAGTATGAGCTAAAATTTTTTGCTATGTAAAGTAAATGTTTGTGGAAAAATGTAAAACTAAATAAATGAAAGAAAAAAAATTGCATTGACATAGGTAAACTCCCAAGCCCCCAGTTCTTCAAAGATGGATTAAATAGATAATATCATTGCTTACAGAAATGTCTTGAACTAGACAGAATTTATGTTGAGAAATCAAATTTATGGTTTTTTATTTTAATTTTTAATTCCATTTTTCCATGAACCTTTTGAATAACCTCCCCTCAAACTTTCTGTCTCTTGAAGGCTAGCTTATAGTTGCTGGGGTCCAGTCTCGGCGGAGGTGGGTACACAGAAAGGTGACACGGGTGAACAAAATCAGGCTGAAACCTCAATGCCTCTTAGCATGTTCTCAGCCAGCTACAGCCAGAGCCAGCTCCAGACTGCAGCATTAGCAGCTACCAAACACACATATTTATTGAAGGATGTCTTACAGGAGTGGGAGGGGTGAGGGGGAAATAAAAGATTTACTCTCCGAAACAGGGAATTCAAGACACAGGGACAATGATAAAACATGATGTCTGTCTTGTTTGATTAGGTATAATCAATTACAGTTCTCAGGATGAAGGAGTCTATTTATCTGGTGCATTTTCTTCTTAGATTTTGATTACCAGACAGGGTCTTTTTGGATGAGAGGGTCTTGTAGCTCAGGAGACAACACAGGATGTTTTATTAGCAGTTTTTCATAGTTAACAGCATACAGGGGAAAAACTGTTTGTAGTTAGGGACTATCTGTTGCTTGCCGAATCAGATAAGAACGTCCAGCTAAGATAGTTACTCTTCCCCCTGGAGCCTTCAGATTTGTTTATTCTGTCCTTGTTAGCCAGATCTGCCCTTCCTCTATTAACCTACAGGTCCCTGTATTTATTTGCTGAATTCTTTGTGTGTTAATCAGTGAATTCTTGTGCTTTATCTTTGAGCCCCTATCATGGCGGTGGATGTGCTAACTTGGCCTAACATAAGTTAACTTTGGCCTGTGGCTTTAACAAGGGGTATTTACGTAAAATTAGCCTTAAACTAACTTAGTCTACATATGCTACTAATGCTAATTTGGCTTATACTAACTTAATCTAACATATGTTAATTTTGGCTTGAAACAGGCAGGTGGGGGAGTCTGTCTCAGGCTTCCTAGTCCTTGCTTGCCCCTACAGGATCACTAATTGGCTTTATTGTAAAGTTGCAGTAAGGTTGGGAGTGTTATTTTACCCTTGCAGGGTACCATAATAACAGTAAAGCTCACAGCAGAGAAATTGAGTGCAGGCCAGTACAGTGACACAATGGGGGGCTCGTAAACTGCCAGCCTTGCCTTAGGCATGGGAGGCAGCCTCTTTACTAGCTTGTGTTGTCTGCATGGCCCCTGTCAAGTTAATATCATGTAAATGGAACCTTACTGTATGTAGTCTTTGCTACTGGCTTTCTTAACTTAGCTTTAATCTCTGAAACTGTTATTCTAAGATAATATATTTTAATTATCTTAAAATTAATAATCTCAAAAAATAATTTTAGTTAAATTCCTTTAATTTTATTTCAATTGACAACTAACTTACTTTGTGAATATTAAAAAGAATTACATCTGTGATACATTTGACAGCTAACATATTTTCTAAATTTTTCTAGAGGAAACTTTTGATGACACATCACCCCATGTGGCTGAACCTCCAAAAACAGTCCATAAAAAATCTAGGGTCCGTTCAAGCTTTTCTAAATCTATCCACCGTACTTCATTGAACCAAGTATTTCCAGGTAATTTTAAATATGTTCAGTGTATGATGTGATTTTTTAAAAATAAAACTCTAATTAAATAGAATAACCCTGTTGTACTGGCTTTAGTCATAGAACAATTGTTTATCGGAACATAAATGAAAGTAACCTCTGAAAGAAGTTCGTCCAGTGTGTACTCATTCCTAGTGGATGAGGAGTGCTCTCGACATTTCTCTCCCTTCCCTATCATGACTAAATTGGAACTTCATTTCTTAATCTTTCTTTGTTGCTCACTGTTACAGAGCCAGTGGATGAATGAGATAAATACACTTGATAACCCCCTGCTTTTTGTTTCTGTATCCCCCTTTGTCTCGCCCAAGCAGTGTATGCGGTAGAAAGAGTTAAGATGAGGGTAGGTTGTAGGTTGGAAGTTACATAAACCATGTATT